TTAAATGGAAATTTACCTTTGACTGATAGGCATGGTGTTTTAGATCGTTTGTGTTGGAAATTCCCTATATTGTTTGTGTTTGTGAGTTTTTGTACCACTTGTCTCTCTGGTGAATTTTTTGATTAGTGTGATGCCACTTACATGGCCTGTGAGAAACAGTGGTGGTTGATGGTCCTTGGTTTTTTCAGAGCTGTTGGGGTTTGGGGTTTTTTATTGCTTTGTTTTGTGGGGGGTTTTTTTCCTCCTTGAGAGGGAGTCTCACTTTGTATCCCTTGCATAGCTCTCAGCAATCCCAAACTCTTGGGCTTAAGTGATCCTGTTGCCTCAGCCTCCGGAATAGCTGGGACTACAGGCGCCTGCCATAACACCCTGCTATTTTTAGAGACAGAGTCTAGCTCTTGCTCAGGCTGGTGTTGAACTTAGAAGCTCAAGCAATCCACTGGCCTCAGCATCCGAGAGTGCTGGGATTACAGGTATCACCCAACATGCCTGTCCTGCTGTTGGTTCTTTTTGCAGGAATTTGTTGTTTGGACCCCAACTTTGATTTGGAGGCACATTTTACAGGGTCTTCTTCATTGCCTCTTCCTCCCCAAATTAACCTCAATTGGCCTTTCTGTGCATTTGCAAAAGAGGAAACCAACTGTCTTGTTTGTAGATAAATTAGCTTTCAAAAAGAATGGGAAATAAATTTCTCAAAACTAAAAGAAGACAAGGAGAACAACCCCTTTTGGGTACCCCAATTGTTTTATGTGCCCTCACCTACAAGTACTTTATATCAAAGGCATGCCAAGTTTTCTAGGAGGACCAATTCTTATGTCCAAGTTTTTACTGAAGGGCAAGTTATATCAAGGAGAATTCAGAGCTCAAACTGTCGGCCTGCCACTACAGAGTTAAAATGTTGTCTTAAGCTCTCTGCTTGAGATAAACTCATTTTCCATGATATTGCTTGAGGTAAACTCATTGTTATTTGTGTGTGTAAGAATTTTTTGATAAATGAGACCCTGAAGCTCTTACTGGAACTCTGCAGCTGGCCAGAGCAAGACACCAGGAGGGGCCACATTCCTGGAGCAGACTGATGGGAGGGAAGACTGTGCATGTGGCCCCCACTGAGTAGCAAGGGGGGAGGAGCAGCTGTTGCCCCTGTCATCTTGGCACCACCTGAACTAGCTTTTCTATCCCATGCCCATTAGCTTGTGACTCAAGGTTTTGCCTTACCCAACAGAGAGTTCAGTTTGGCCAGAGGACCCCATAGCCAGGGCGAGGCAATCAGCACGAATCCTTCACAGCTTGTTAACGTGGCCTTCAAAGTAAACTGAAAACCCTTTTACTAGCTACACCACCCTAGGATCCTTTGAGACATTCGCAAAGAAAGGCTACCCTAGGGTGGGGT